TCCATAAAGTATGATGCTGGCCATCAGTTTGTTGTAGATGACCTTTATCAGATTAAGGTAAGGACCATCTATTCCTATTTTCTTGAGGGTTTTTATCATGAATGGATGCTAAATTTTGTCAAATTTTTTCTGCATCTACTTAGATTATATGGCTTTGTCACTGCCCCATTTTTGTGGCAAATTACATTTTTTATTTGCATATGTTAAGCCATCCCTGCATCCCTGGGATGAATCCTACTATTTTTCATGATTTGCTACATTCTATTTGCCAGTATCTTACTGAAGACTTTTGCATCTATGCTCATGAAAGAGATTGGTTGTAGTTCCTTTTCTGGTTTTGGAATCATGGTAATGCTTGCTTACAAGAATGACTTTGGGAGTACTGCTTCCCTTTCAATTTCATTAAAAGGTCTGAGGAATATTGGCACTCTATCTCTAAAGTTCTTATAGAATTCAGTGGTAAATCCATTAGGACCTGGGCTTTTAATTGGTAATTTTTTCATTACTTCTTCAATTTCACTGACTTGGCTTATTTAAAAATTTACATAGCTTGTTTTTTTTTTCTTTTTTTGAGACAGGTTCTTGCTCTGCAGTTCAGGCTGGACTTGACCTCACTTTGTAGCCCAGGCTGGTCTTGAACTCACCTGGGATTACAGGCATGTGCCACCACGCCCGGCTTTTCACATAGCTTCTTGATTCAACTTTGGTAGTTCACAAATACCTAGGAATTTATCTATTTCTTTTAGATTTTTTCTGTTTATTAGAGTGCAGATTCTCAAAGTAGTTACCAATAATCTTCTGGATTTCAGCAGGATCTGTTGTGTTTTCATTTCTAATTGTATGGATTTAGGTCTTTCCTTTTTAAAATAACATTGGCTAGGGGTTTGTCTATTTTATTCAATATTTCAAAGAAACAACTCTTCAATGTATTGATTCTTTGTCTTGAATTTTTAGTCTCAATTTCATCCCTGATCTTTATAATATCTCTCCTCTTACTAGCTTTTGGCGTTGAATGGTTCTTGTTTTTCTGAGGTGCAGGATTAGAGTATTTACTTGAGTACATTCTGTTTTTCTAAAGTGCACATTCACTGCTATAAACTTCCCTCTTAGGACAGCTTTCCTTGTGTCCCATAGATTCTCTTATGTCCTACTCATGTTATTTGATTGTAAAATCTAATTCATCTGTGACCCATTGATTACTCAAGAGGGTATTTAATTTCCATGTGTTTGTATAGTTTCTGCATTCTTTTGCCATTAATTTCTAGTCCCACTGCACTATGGTCTGAGTAAAATTCATGTGATAACTTCAGGTTTTTTGCATTTACTTAAGTATGCTCTATGAGCTAGTACGTGGTCTATTGTGGAGAAACTCCTGTGTGGCCAAAAATGTGTACCCTGTTGTTGAGTGGAACACTATAAATACTATTAAGTCCATTTGTAAGTTTGGTTTAGCCCAGATATTTGCTGATTTTTTGCCTAGTTGGTCTGTCCCTTTTTGACCACTGGGTATTGAGATCCTCCATGAAGCTGAGTATACCAGTATGTGTGCATAAATATTTATAATCATTAGCTCTGTTAACTAATATTGTAATGATTATCCAGCCTTAAGTTTAGGAGGTAGCGCAGATTGCAGCTTCAGAGAGAGAGAGAGAGAGGAGAGAGAGAGAGAGAGAGAGAGAGAGAGAGAGAGAGAGGCGTTTCCGATCAATATGTCTGATCCTATAAGGACTGGAGGCCTGAGTTACCAAGTCTTTTTTTTTCCACCCTCTCCCTGTTCTTGTTACCGTCTTGCCATCTGTAGCAACTTCCTATATACTATGAGGCATATACTTGGCAATTCTTTCCTTGTCATACACAAGAACCTCTACTGTTTTTGGCCCACTCAACTATAACAGAACCAGAGCAAGAGTGCTGCCCTGGGGGATTCAAATTTGCAGATTCCGGTCAACCTTGGCCTCTGGCCATAGGGCTGGGACCTGGGTTGTTTAGAGGAAAACAATGTGCATGGCTCTTGCAGGCCTGACCACAGCTCTCTAACCATAGATGTCTCCCATGGCTGACCCTCATCCAGTCACTGTGGGAATACAAAGCTAGGAGTCCTGAAATAAAGCCAACATGAGACTGTTCCTGGTCCTCAGCTCAGTTGGCCCCATCTATAGCATCTAAGCACTCACTTCAGGGATACAGCAGGCACTTGGGCTGCAGTCACTCGCCAGCTGTTGTAGGTCACAGCCTCTGCTGGTCCATTCTGCTGCATTTTTTTTTTTTTTTAATTTTAAAGAATAAAAGAAGGCTAACATAGTAATGGGGGGCTTACCAAATTACAGACAAAGTGGTAGGAAATTATCAATGGTTGTTGTTTTACATATTGTTATCTACAAGATAGTTTCTCAGGAAAACAGACAAATAGTTACAGACAAAAGAGGTAGGAGGTTATCAATAGTTGTTGTACTATACTTTGGTATCTTCAAAGTGGTTTCTAAAGAAAATAAATAGCGCTATACATGAGTGACCAACTGAATAATCATTGACTATTCTCAATGGTTGTTGTGGGAAACACATAATAATAAATATACATCCATTTATGAAATAGCATACGAACAATACAATTAGTTATGGACAGATTGGTGACAGATTAGTTACGAACAATACAATTAGTTATGGACAGATTGGTAGGAAAATATCAATGGCTGCTGTAATACATGGTGGTATCTTCAAAGTGGTTTCTCAGGAAGACAGAGATATGCAAGAAGGATCTAACAAGTAGTTACAGCCTAAGGGTTGTGAAAAATGGATTACCTCCTCACCAGTGACTCCTTTCACTGAGGTGTGACAGCGGGAAGGCCAGGATTGAAAAGGACTGAGACTTGCACCTGTGTCTAGCAACAGGCTGTTTTCTTTTTCCTCTATAGTCATGATTACCTGGAGCTCCTCCATGGAGATGACAGTCTGGCCAGAGGGAGAAGGCAGAGTATGCCCCAGGCCCCCTCATTCCTGTTGGACTAACTGGTGGCATGGGTCTGAGCTCTGGGGCCTCTGCTTCAGAGGGCAGACTGATCTCCAGTGGTCTCCTTTGCATCCAGGGCATGGCCCATGGGGCCTCTTAGGGCAGTTCCTCTTGAGGTGGCCTGGCTTTTAACAGTGGTAGCAGATGAATGCAGTTGTCGATTTCTTCTTGGGGCCCCCGAGAATCAGACTTAGGGTCTGTTTCTCTTAGTGGTGCAGCAAAAGCAGCTGCTTTTTCTCCGTCCCTTTGTTTTCTCTCCTTGGCCTCCTCCTCATCACGGCTATAGAATACTGAGGAGGCAATTCTTACTAACACCTCAAGAGAGCCATCTTCTGCCACATTTCTACCTGAGGCCTTTTGGAAACCCTTTCATTGTATCTCTTGTAAATTCAGCCCTACTTTCTCATGAGTGATAAACCAGGAGCTAGGGAGAATGTGCAGATTCCTTCTGTCTCTTCAACTTACCTACAAGCTGCAACCTTTCCATCAGGTCCCTCTTGAGTCCCAGGACTCCACCTTTGTGATAGTTAACTGACTGCGTCAACTTGAGTAAGAAACACCCAACTAAACTGACTCAGCATAATTCTGGAGTGGAAGACCCACCCTGCCTGTTTCTTTGGAAAAGCCCCAGTCTTCACCTTCACTTTGAACGTCCACCTTCAGCTTTCCATCACAGACCCTTTGGCTTGTTGATATGGACTCACACGGACACTCAAGTGAGCTTCAGGCCTTCAACTGGATCCTTCACCTCTGCAGCATGCAGACTGTTTGTACTCTTCCACACCTGACCCCCAGGTGGCCAACTGTAAGGCAACCTTGTACATTCTTATATATTTGTATAGCTTGTATTATGTTTCTCTAATAAGCACAAATACAACCTCCTATCTTTTCTTCCCCAGTTATTTTCCTGTTGTCCAGATTCTCCATCTCAGAGGCTGATTTGTTACTGCTTACCTCTCTGCCATCTTCCCAGAAGTCCCCTAAGACTGCAACTTCCACGACTCGGTCAGTCACCTAAGACTGCCCCATGCTGACATTCCTTGGCTAGATTTATGATCCTCCTCTATTAGACCCATCAGTAAAGGCCATAAACTGGTCCAGTTAAGTAAATAGTGGCTGGGCATGGTGGCCCACACCTGTAATCCCAGTACTTGGGAAGCTGAGGCAGGAAGATTGCCGTGAGTTTGAGGCCAGCCTGGGCAATATAGTGAGTTCAAAGCTGAACTATATAGTGAGACCCTGCCTAAAAACACAAAAAAAGCAAAAGTAAACAGGCTGAGCAAATCTAGGGAATGTTAACTCATCTTTCAAAAACCAACCAAAAACAAAACCCACCTGTGAAACAGGCTGGTAGCCTTTTGAGGGAGGGGTTGGGGGAGCATTTTCACCCCAAGGAAAGTATAAATGTTCCCAGTTCCAAACTGTACTGTGCCCCATTTCCTTGTGTGCCTACACTCCTCTCTCGAGTGCATCCTATAATCTCTCTCTGCCTTGTTCTCTTTCTGACATCCTGAAAATACTTCTGTGACAGGAGTGGGTTGAATTATTTCAGTTTTTTGGGAACTGTCCCAAGCCCAGCCCATGACACAGGTGCTGATGACACCTGAGCCCCAAACAACTGCCTAAAACCACTGCCACATAGGAAGGATACAGATGGTTAAACAAAAATTTAAAGAAGAAAAGAAAAGCCCTCTTAGATACTTTAGAATGAAACTGACTGCACAAGCAGAATCATCTGCCTCTGAAATACTAACTTATAAACAGACATATCTCCCTGCATGCCGTGTCTCCATAATGTCTGCTCAGAGTCATCACAGATACCAGGCACTTTCAGTTCAAGTGTACAGGAAAAGGAACCTGCTGCTTAATACAAACACATCTTTCTATCCACTTGTGAAAACAGTTATACTTAGCTTCTAATTATATCAAGCTAGAAATATCTAAAACAGAAATGTACTCTGCATTCAAGACTACTCAAAAAATACACAAAAAACTCTTTCAAGAACAGACTTTATTTTTAACATAAAAGTTCTATTTTCTTGTGAGGCAGCAACAAGTGTTCAGAACAGGGAATATGTAAGTACATAGTAACAATATCTATTACCATTGGAAATGCTGTTTTTTGGAGAATCTTGTTAGAAAACAAAGGATTTTTAAATTGCATTTTAAAAAGATTTATATAGCTTCAACAGAGATGAAAAATGTAACTTAAAAAACATAAATTATATTCAACAGGACTGTATAAACAAAATATTGTTTAGGACTGCTCTGCTTATCACTAATTTAAGCAGAATGAAACGTAAACTTTAAAGTGCGGAGTTAAGTATAGCTTAATTTTGCAAATTCAGTGCTTCCTGTGGTCCAGTTCTGAGACACCAAAAACCCAAGCATGAAGGAATGAATCTAAAGTTTTACAACAGTAAATTTAGGAAGGATGCAGAGTAGAGGAACAGAAATACAGTCAAGATGTGTTATGTGCATTTGCCAATTCCCCATGATGAATGCAGTCATCATACACTGCAAACATGGACTCACAGAAATAAAAATAGCAAGTTCAGTACTGACAATGTTTATTTTCCTTAAAATCCTCATAACCTAGTCCCAATTTTGGACAGAGAGGCAGGTATAAATTCTGCCATTCTGTAATATCTTCCTTAAACAGGTGAAAGAAAACAGACCTTCCATGTTACCAGATATTACACCGTTAGCAACAGCACCTTCTAAAAGACTGATTTGGTCTGTAGTCGTAAGAGGCATTTTAAACAAAACGAACAATCTAGTTTAAAAATAACTTTTGGCATCTGTTTGCACCATATTTAACTGAAGAGGCAAAACTAGAATTTTAAAAACAAAGTTGCTCACAAAAGTCACACAATAGACCTAGTCATAATCAGAAACAGTACATCTGTAAGTTTTATCATCACAGGGAAGAAATTATTTTAAGGGTAAACAGCAGCTAAGATTGACAAAGTAACTACAGAATAACTCCTTATGGTGAAAGATATATACCACCCTTTTTTGTTTTTTTGCAATGGGAAGTATTTTCATTTGAAAAAATTCAAATTATTATCTCACTGAAGCTATTCTATCTTCTGTACAGTTTTCTATAGAATAACACGACCATTCTGGAGTGTAATTAGGATGTATTATGCATTCTGAGAGTAAATTCCATTTAAAAAAAAAATCAACCATCTCAGAATGAAGGGTTAAGTAAAACAACCAGATGAACCTATTGTTTAAGACTGTAATGGAATGCATATGCTTAAAAATCAGCCCTTTGGCAGTTAAAAGTTATTTTGTATCTTGGACCATTTCCCTCCTCCCTCAAATCCCAGGCTCTTTTTCTCCCAAACTGAAGGGATACAACTGGCTGCCATACAACTCATTTACCTGCAAATTCACATTCTGCTTATAACCAAATTAGGAGTTCTACTTAATAGAAAGCCTTTAAATAATAAATCTGAAGCTTACTCTTCATTCTGATTTTACATTATAAAGATATATAAAACTACAGAAGGCATGAATTTGCAAATGAATAGAACACAATAAAAGAAAAACTCATGAAGTGACACTCTAGTTGTAAAACACCCTTACGACTGGTGGGAATGGAGACAGAAGGGAGAAGGAAGCATAAGGCAAAGGAAAGATCTGAAGTAATAAATCTGAGGATTTAAAAAAAGCGAACAGCAAAACCTTGTTTTAACTACCTCCTACTCCATTCATACCAACTCACCTGCCTTCAGCTTTATACTTTCTTCTGTACCTCTGATAGTGAGGCTCCTCACTAGCGAAATGGTAAAGTTAAAAGACATAACAAAGCGGGCCAAGAACCAACATACTCAAAAACCAACCAATCAGAACATTTAGACCCCAAATAACAGCATTCACTGCTGAGGAGGTCTAACTTCAGTTTTGGATGGAAAAAGTAGCAAGATTCATCAGTCCTACCAACTATAACCTGACAATTCATGTTTGAATTTATCATATTTACCTAAATACATCTCCATTTTAATGTCTATTAAGGGCATGTTTTAAATTGCTTAGATGCTTTAAAGGTGCATGAATGTAAGTCCTTGAAGTAGAGCTTTCAGTGACATATAGCCCACTTCGCATGCAGGCCATAGGTTCGCCACCACTGCACTAGGTTTTTCTTGATGGGACACTTGTGGACAAATGGTATCTCTTTGATAAGGGCTTAAAATTTTTTTTCTGCTGTAGAATGTACAGGAATAGTAAATTATTGCATCTTAAGGTGGTATATGAAGATATTACAAGGGTGCTTTTTAAAGATCAATACCGCTTGCTGAAATTCATTTCTAGGAAAAGCTCCTCCTTAATGTTACTACCACATACCCAGAAAATAAAATACTGTTTCCATGTGATATTATTGGCAGTAGTTTGTGTTAGGATGAGCTGAAATCCAAAGTTGTGTGGAGTTTTTAAAGGTGCCTATTGTTTACGCTCCAAAGTTCTTGTCTGTTTTCCCCACTGTGTGGAAATGTTGAAGAGGAAACTAGCAAAATCTGTAGACAACATATCTCAGTGTCAATCACCATAAAGAAAAAGTCAGTCTCAAGAGTCTGTGGCTACAGATCGCTATTCAATGGATTACACTCCTGGCAAACTACTAACCCAGACCAAATCCACAAGACAAGAACATCACAAAAGCAAAGGAGGAAATCCATGCACAGCCATTGGAGGGTCTGTTGGGGCTATGATACAGTGATGATAAGGTAGCGCGACACCTGTGGCAGAGGAGGGTGATCACGTGATATACATTTCACAGAAAACCAAGGGGCTCCTTATTTTCCTAGCTAGCAATCAACACTAGATAGTTTCCTTTTGCCTCACTGACTTTTAAACCAAGTCCCAACACGGGTGAGAACATGAAAGCACTTGTCTTCAGACTATAACTTTTCTGACCATATGGTGACATGTGTACAGGAGAGTGAAGAAAACAGCAGTTTTACAAATATTTCACCCAAAGCACAAACTTCTGACATCAAAGAACGTAAGTCACATAATGTACCAATATTGCTTTTAATCTCTTTTTTATATATACTTGTTCAATGCATTTACCTATCAATTCTTATGTGGGAGAATATAGTGGAGATTAACATTGCTGGGAAAATGTCAACAATCCCTTTGGTCCCAAAGCTGGAAACAGCTGAGAAAAGCACACATCTAGGAAGGGAAGCAAGAAACAAGAGGCCACCAAGGAATCTTTGAACATCCTGTTTGCTGCGTTTCAGAAAATGTGACACTGGTATCATAAAATAGTCCTTTTCATACAAAAGATGGTTCTTGCAGCACCATTCACACCTCCCTTTGGGAATCGTGTCGGCAGGGGTCATGTTCTGTGTTTTGCGTGTTTCATACAAGTCTAGTTTGAAAACAAAAATGGATCGTTGTCCTTCCGAAAGAACGAGACCTTTCCGCCTCAGGAAAAAGCAGGCTAAGCACGGAGGCTGGCCTGCGTGAGCATGGCCACCGTCAGAGCGGCTGCTGCTTCTCAAGCCTCCCTGACACACGTCGCCGGGGGCGGGCGCCCCAGCCAGCCGGAGTGCAGGTGCGGTCACAGTCAATCACCGAGGAGTCCTCAGTTTCGCAGAACCACAGCGCCCAGCACATACGCCTATCCTTCCGCCTCTTCGATCGGCTCTGGTGGTGGCAGCAGGGAGGCTGAGGGCAGGACCGTGCTGGTTCCCCTGGAGACCCGGTCCTGCTCTGTGTTTGCAGACAGGGAGGCCACGGCAATAGGCTGAATCAGAGTGGTCGTCATACCCGTGGTGACTGTCAGGCTGTGGCCGGAGCCCTTGAGGGTGAGATCTGCTGTGGGAAGGAGTGGCTTGAGAATGCTGACGAGGCAGAAAGCAGAGCCGCTTTTAGGAATGAAATTTACTTTGTTTTTGTCAGGACAGTAAAAGGCTGGGATTTCATGAAGTTGTTTTGGCCTACACAAAAACAGAAAACCCAATACTTTTAAGTCACTGGACACTGGAAATAAGTTCTTTAATTCATTAAAAATAGGCAGTTTGTCGATACATAACAGGAGTACAAACACGCTGTGTCAAAAGCTTGAAATGCCAAGGCTCTAACTGCTATTCGGTCGTGTGCGTGCTACTGGATGCGCCTCGGCTGGCAGCAGAACCACCCCCGCCCCCCACCCCCTGCGCTCCCAGGCCCAGCAGGAGCCCAGTCGCCGCGCAGGCGCTCGGGCTCACACGCCAGCGTCTGAGGGGAGCTGTACAGCCAAGAGGAGGAAAGCCTAAAGCACAAGAAATCTATGTGTTTAAAGACAAAATTACATTCCCCTGCCGTGACTTTCCCCGGGTCTGTACTACTCCAAAAGGAGAAGGGAAGAAAATTAATGATAAACATGGCTAATCCTCTGCTAAGTTCTACCATGGCGGGGTAAAACTTTGGTAGGTACAGGCTTTCTCTTCAAGAGCTCTTAGAAACCTCTGAAATGATGCTTTGAGTTAACCATGGAAAATAAAAATAAAAACAGTAGTCTTTTGCTTTAAAGTTTTCACTGAAGTAGTATTTTTTCCTGTTTCCAGATCCTACTGAAAATTATTCCAAATCATTGAAAAGCATACTTCTGGTGTTAATGGTATTCCATTAAAATTCAAAATAGTTTTAAAAATTAAATAGTTAAGTAACGTAAAGTACTATAAAACTGAGGAATTAAGGTGGGGTGGATGAACCTGAATAAATCAAGACTTAGGTTTAAAAGGCCACATTACCTGCTGATTAAAGGATTACTGTCTCTCCCAATGACAGTTCAGCTCAGTGAGTACCTAAGTGGGCCAAGACAGCAGGTTCTAAGAAACAAAGCTGAAACAATCGACCGAGACAAGACTAGCTTTACAGTGCTGGAAGGGAAGGATGCTGGGGTGGAACTGTATTTCAAAATAATTGTAATCCTACATATTTCGTGTGTTTATTAGGCAGAGGGGAGGTCCACAAGCTCGGCAGCCTGCCAAAGCCATCCACAGCACAGGAGAGGTAATCTGCATGACAGTCGGACAAGCATTACAGCAGAGGTTTGTGGAAAATTTAGAGGCAGCAAGCACAAAGGCTAACCTACAGCAGGGAGGAAAAGGGAGAGTTTGGAAGGGAAAAGGCTCTTCAAACCAATGACCTCTAAGCTGGATTTCAAAGAAAAAGTGAACAACAGACCCGGGAACTAAGGACAAAGAAGATGTGTGATGCAAGCAGGCAGCGCGCTGGATGGCAGTCTGTTAACAGCACTACCCAGAGATGGCTCTGTCAAACTGCAGCTTAAGAACAAAGAGAAAGACATCATTTAAAAACTTTTATTGCACACCATTCTTTCTTGAACGAAAAGAACTTAAGGGGCAGCTACTTTTAGTGCCATAAGTATATCTGGATATATCACGGATATGAGGTACAGTACCCCCAGAGCATGGCTTTCAACTCCCTAAAGATGACAGCTTTGGGGAGACAGTCCTACTTCCGTGATTAAATACTGCTTGGATTTTCCTTTGACGGCAGGATCACTGGACATAACTTTCATTCTTGCATTAGGGGGAAGTGTTAATCAAGTCTTATACCCCCATTTAAATGAGCACTAGTGTGTAATTTATGTGTCTGACGTTATCTCACTACAATGACTTAGGACTGAAAAAAAAAAAACTTGCCTTGCATGCACAAGGCCCTGGGCCGGATCCTAGAACTAAAAACTAACTAAAAAATTACTTAAGACATATGGCTAATCACAGATCTTAAAGATGAAACCACATTTCTCCAACACAAAGAAACTTCCTGACTTATAATAAAGTTCTAAATCTACAAAACTTTTTTTTTATATACTGAGAATCAAACTCAGGACTTGGCACTTGACACGCAGATACTGTGCTTCTGAGCTATCTCCCAAGCCCTACAAAATGTTTCTTAAGACAGAAATGTATTATACATATATTTTTTTGGGGGGGGTCTTTTTGAGACAGGGTGTCACTCTGCAGTTCAGGCTGGCCTTAGGCTCACTTTGTAGCCCAGGCTGGTCTCGAACTCACAACGATCCTCCTGTCTCAGCTTCCCGAGTGCTGGGATTACAGGCATGTGCTACTATGCCTGGCTAAGACAGAAATATAAAAACATTTAATCTCCTTACTCCTCTCATAAAAACAGACATAACTCACCCAAAAATAATGTAAACTATGATAACTGATCAGATCAAGAAATAAAACTGTTAACAGTAAAACGCACCAGAGCCTCCCCTTGCACCTTCCAGCCACAACCCAGCCTGCCCATGCGAATCACTCTTAACCTCTCACTCCAGCGCCTTGGCTAAGAAAGACAGTGCCCACCCCCGAGATGTGTGACGTGCATGTATGTCCGTGTATGCCAGCCAAAGCAGCAAGTGCTAACTTTACTGCATGGTACTCTTCAGCTGAAGCAGACAAGGGAAGAGAACAATCTCAGCTTCATCGGCCACTGATGTAGGGCCACACAGTGTCATCCTGATGCTGCTGGGTGGTGGCGGTGATGGCTGCAGGCAGCGCCCCGTAGACCCAGCCAAGCTTCCCACACCCCCTGCCCAGGAACTCTGAGGAAGCAGCGGGTGGCCTGCTGGGTGGCTCAGAGACCCCTCAGCCACAGCTTGGAGAGGCCCTTTCTGGAGCTCTGTGAGGCTCTGCCTGCAGCCACAGCGCTGGAGAAGCAAAGCTCAGCAGAGGAAGCTGAGCAATGTGGCGACTGCAGAGAAGAGGATCACCCTGCCCTTTGTTCCAACTGCTCTGGCCCCAGGGTCTCTGGGAAGGGGCTCATCACACGACTGTCTGGTGCTTTTAGGCCTGGCAGCTTGGCTGCAGCAATACACGTAAGCTGTGGTCCTCGCTGCACAGGTGGGTGGAGGACGCAGACGATGCCAATGCTCAGGAAATGTGCACAGCAGAGACTCTTGCACAGCCCAAAGAGAACTAAGACAAGTTCTGAGAAACAACAGAGAAGGAGCCGGGAGAGCAGGTTCCTCAGTGCCTGAGGCCCACAGTGGATCAACCTCGCGCTCTGAGGGGCGAAGCAGGGGAGCCTGCAGTCAAGTCTGCACCAGGGCCCTGGGGACCAGGTACTTCCTTCACTGAGAGAGAGGGTGCACCCAGCAGCGGGGCGCTGGATGAATTGGCGGGGGTGAAGCTAATGCTGCTCTTGACTGTAATCCCCTCATTCACCATCAGTCTTACAGCCCTCTGAGTATTTTCCCAGAGGAATAAAAAGCGTCATACCACAGCGCTATCTGCACACTCATGTCTATGGCAGCACAGTTTGCAATGGCCAAATCTTGGAAACAACCTAAATGCCCATCAACCAATGAATGGATAAAAAAGATGTGTTCTTAAAAAAAATATAATGGAGTATTACTCAGCCATAAAGAAAGATTGAGAGTTTATAGCTAGATGGATGGACCTTGAGACCAAAATCGTAAGTGAAATAAATTGGACACACGTGTAAACACCCATTCTCTCTCTAGTGAGAGAAACTGAAAATGTAAGTAAGAACACAAATGTGTAATAGATATTGTCAAGCAGGAAGGAACTGTTCAAAGGAAAAGGAAAATAGGGAGCAGGGAGGGATAAGGAAGGAAGGGAAAGAAAAAATGAGAAAAGACAGATAAAATGAAAACGGAGCTTTGTGAATGGGAAGGGGGCTTGAAAAGAGGGGATGGGAATGGTGGAAAAAAAGAGGAAACAAGATGTATCGCGCACAGACACAAATTCCCTATAATGAATGTGGTTATTATATATACCTAAAATGTCCTAAGAAACAAAGAGGAAACCTCAAAACTTGTTTTAAAATTTTATTTTTCCTTGCACAGTTCTTTTAAAAGGATTGTCTTCCTAAGTATACAGAATTAAAAACAACAACAAAAACCCTTCTATACTACAAAGAGGCCATAATATCTAGCAACATAAACTGTAAGATCAAGGACGGTATTCATTGGGATCCAGAAATCACATACTTAACTTCCTTAGAAAGGACTTACTATGTGCAGATGGCATGGCTCTGGTATGTGCTATATTATAGACAGCTGGGATATATAGACATTTTATAAGCATCAGATAGGCCTGGGCCCTCGAGAGTCAGGGTAGAGATGAAAACTCATTACAACCTTGCCTGGAGGCGCATCTGTTGGAGGCCAGGCCTCAAGATAAAGATGAAATGACCAGGCCTAAGCTAAGTGGTAGCACCTGGTCTAATGAAGTGTAGATACACATCAGGCACCAAGGTGGGTGACTAAGACCCCATCCCTTCCTGAAAAGTTCTTTGTTCTTTCCATGTACCTTGCTACGTGACTTGCTTTCCCATTGGAGCAGTACTACCTAAGCAACTAAATTTGTAATACCGGTTGACAACAGCTATAACCCATGGTATACCCACATGGCTGTGCTCTATAAAACCTCCCCTGTGAAGTGGGGTCCTCGGTAACCCATTCATTCAGGGGGTCCTCCTGCCTCTCAGGAGCTGTCTCTTCACCTCAATAAATATCCCCTGCTCTTAACCTCTGTTGTTCCTTAGAATTTGTTCTTTGATTTTGGGGAACATGAACTCAGTGTACTGGGCATCTAGAAGGTTGGGAGTTATATTTCCCTAATATCATATTTGGAGGTTCTGATATAATTTCCTATATTACTATTATTTTTAAAAACACACATACTGAGACACAACTGCAAAATGTGGTCTTACCCTGTTGGGCACTAACTGAATTACCTACTTTCTTTCAGGAAAATAAAGTATTTCTAGAAACCAGATATCACCATATACCCAACCCCAAATTCCAAGTTCAGGTCAGGTTACTACTTTAAATCAAAAGTAAGATTTATTGAAAAAGTATTCTCAAAACAATAACTAACGCATTCACAATGGAGCTATAATTTGTGTCTCGCTGCTGGGTGGCTATGAAGCACACATGGTACATGTGTGCCTGTCCCCATCAGTGGAAGGGACAGTCCCACTGGGTGGTACAAGCCACTAGATGGGACAGCAATGCATGCTGCACCAGTGGGTCAAGCCAGTGGGAACTTCTTAAATGAACTGTTAAATTAGGAACAATCTAACTTTGCTTTAATGCTTGTATATCCACTGCTCTCTGCTATAATTTCATCATAACTGGGGCAAAAGACAGACTAATTTTCCTAGGCCTTGAGGAACATATTTTATTGAAAGAAGGTTAAAATTACTGCTAAGAAATCCACTGTTGGATTACTACTGATTTTAACTATGTCTTTGGGACATAATTAAAATATTGAGACTTTTTGTGTGCTACACATCCCTTATAACAGTAAAATTTCTAATAAACAACACATTTAAAATAGGTATGCCTTAACAGGTCAATGTGCCATAAAACATAATGTGTTAGGGTTTACCTGTTTATGTTTTTGGATCTAGCTAGCTTCTGTCTGTCTGTCTCTCTGTCTTTTCTCCTCTCCTTTAGAAACAAAGTATAATATTGATTCACCAGACACAAAGTCCTGAGTAGTTTTCCAAATGCAACAGTGTTAGGCAGATAACACAGGACACCCATCCACATAACATATATTTGAGGTCATTTCTATAAAAAAGGAAAAAAAAAAACAAATCAAATGGTTTTTGAGCCAGTTAGCTGTTTCTTTGCTCTTAGGCAAATCCCAACTGCCAATGGATAAAAACCAAAGAGCTAAATTTAAAACAACAGATTTAGGCCAAATGATTGAAGGCAGGTCCTGCTTCCATATTTACTGGTTATCAGACCTGATTCTGCCTGGGAATCTGGTTTCAACAAATTCCCCAGTGACTATGATTCAGGGAACCCATGAACAAATCTGCAGAAATACTGGCTTAAATTTTCAGTTAAAACATATAGGCTGACATGAAGACAACTAAAACGAGCAGCTGCTCAAATGTTTTCAGTGACCGTCACAGAAGCAGATAGGACAGTGACAGCTGGTGTTTCCTCGAAGAGAAGCTGAAGGGATTTGAAACAATGCTCCTTGGATGGCAAGATCACTCAAAATTTAGGACAAAAGCAGCACCCAAAAAAGGGTACATAAGAGAAACAAAAGGATTTGAAATATCCTCCGGGATGTTCAAGATAGAGGAGAGAGATGACTGTGTGAACTGGAAAAGGTCAGCTTACCTCCATATTGTATTTTAAATTTCACAGTAAGTAAACCCAAAAAAGACTGGCTCTGCAATTTGTAACCACAGTGGGACTGGAGGGTGAGGGCTAGGCACTACACCATAGCGCTTAGAATGTTCCTACTAATCTGCTCAGTCTCTAACCTTTAGCCACAACTTGTAGAGCAGGAAGCATAGCTACTGAAAATACAAATCTGGACACTTCTGGGGTAGAGTATGAGCTTAAAATGGGTGTAGTGGATGCAAATACATGGGTACAGGAGATCAGATACCAAAGGCATTAGATGCTATTTAAAATTCCAGGGGCTGGGGATTTAGTAGGGGCTGGGGATTTAGTAGGGGCTGGGGATTTAGCTAGTAGGGGCTGGGGATTTAGCTCAGCGGCAAAAGCGCCTGCCTGGCAAGCGCAAGGTCGTGAGTTCGGTTCCCGGTACCGGAGA